GTATGTGTAGATAGTGAGTAATTGAACTGCAGTCAGAAGTATTGTTGACGTTCGTTGATATAGCGTTTGTTAAAGAGCGATTGTTGAAAATAAGTGTATCGTAAAGTTGTATTCGGAAAGAATAAACCAGTTTTATTAAGTAAAGACTTGTGTCGTTAAAGTTTCGTCGGAACGAAGTTACGGAAAGTTAATTAACTAACAAACGGAAACGTAACAATATGTATATATGTATGTTTCGCACTTGGAGGGCTCGAGACCCCCCAAGCCCTTTCCTTCATTGTATTTATGCCCTAAATAATGTGACACTTGTTATCTTTGTAACATATATGAGTAATATAAAAAGTTAAAATTACACAACTGCTTAATCCAAACATGGTAAACATGTACAATGTGGCTAGTTATTTAACCAACAGCCACAAGGACACATCTCGCACTTGTAAGTTGTGTTCAAGTCAACCGCATGCACATAGTTGCATCAATTAAAGTAGAACTAGTTATCATGTTATATGTTAGTTAAATTGGTGTATCTGAAGTTAGGCAAGTTTGTTTTGAGTTATGGCAATACTACTAAGACAATCTGTTGTTGTCCCTGATTTTGAACTGCCACAAACAGAGAGAGCAACTGGCTGCCAACACCCACTACCAACTTTTGGGTTACCAAACATTTGCCTTTTTAAACCAAAAGGGTGGTCACAGTCAATTCCATTATTAATTTCTCAAAGATTACTTCAAGAATTGGCAATGGGTACAAGCAAGTTGCATTCACTCCAGTCAGCAGTTCAAAATTAGTGGTAGATATCTTTAGTAGCTTTGATATTTCTCAAAAACAAATAAACAAATACTCCCTCATGGCTAAAAGGGGAAGCATGATTGGTATCAATGGGAATCACACCTGAGTCCCTCAAATAATGAGATAACTCCCTAATCACTGACCATCCTGACCCAAAGCTGAATAAACCTAAATCAATAAGAAAAATAAGAAGAAATCATAATGGCAATATTTTGATTACTTTGATACTTGGCATAATTGAAACTCATAATAAGTGAACACTGCAATTTTGATTACGTGATTATTTCTATGAGTAGTGACACTAGCTGATTAAGCTGAACAAACTTAAATTAACCAAAAATTAAAATAGTAACACTTTAATCATTTCAATATTGGATAGTTGGAATAATAGAAAACACAAATAATTGGAAACATTAATTGCAATTAACACTAAACAATCAAGCTGAACAAATCTGAATTAATTAAAAAGAAGAAGAAACCATTAAGGTAGTATTTCAGTTACATGGTTAATATGAATAATCTGAAACAGTAATAAATCAAAACACTAATTTTGACTAGTTGATTATTTTTGGCAATTTATATGTGACACAAGTCATGACAATTGATTAATCTTAATTTCGATTAACTGATTATTTAACATAACATTAGTTGATGTAATTAATTATATTAACTAAGTTGATTGCCTAGCTCTAATTCAAAACATCCTTGCAAATAGTTGGAAATACAGAATACAAATGGAATTAGAATCATCAACAGAACTGATTAAAGGTAAAATCAAAACCAAAAAGTAGTTTACATGTTATAATATGTG